GACTGCCGGATCTCACGGCAAGAAAACGACATACCGTCCAGAGAGGTCAAAAGTAATTGCACGTTGAACCACGCCTGATTAGGGAGGGCATCCAATCAGGGAAGGTGGGTACTGCTAATGAACGTGTCAATAGTGAAGTAAAAGAGACCCAAGTCATGCTGTTTAATGAGTGGCTGAAGGGTGATTGCAATACTGATAATATTAATAATGATAATAATAATGTACATATACATAACCAGATAAACATGCATATATATATATATATATATATATATATATATATATATATATATATATATATATATATTAATGTTTGTATATATGTACAGCCGCGCGCGTTACCACTGTACCACGGCGGCCCCCATATATATATATATATATATATATATATATATATATATACACACACACACACACACACACACACACACACACACATATATATATATATGTATGTGTGTGTGTGTGTGTATACGTTAAAAGTTAAAACCAAAATGACTACTAATAGTTACTTTTTCTTTTTTATTGTTGCAGAAATGATAAATATATTATGTAACACAGCTAGGTTAAGAAAGAGTAATACATTATCCTTTTAATATGATCCATAGATGAATTGATAAATATAGATCATATTTCCCTTTAAATACAAAGAACAAAGTTTAATGTTGAAATTTCCTCAATAATTCACACAAAGAAAATAAATTCAAGGATTACTTATTTTATCGCTAGTTGGTAAATGGAAAGATGAGAACATGCTGTTGAATTTCTTCAAGCAGAGCATTGTTGCATTTAAGGCACTGGGGCGTTATGAACAAGAAAGACACCATGGCAGTGCAGATTTGCTCATTCGAATTATCTGATCTTTGGCGATGGATGGAGTTCACCCCTCGTGTTATATGTATATATATGTATATATATATATATGTGTGTGTGTGTGTGTGTGTGTGTGTGTGTGTGTGTGTGTATAAATATATATATATATATATATATATATATATATATATATATATTAAAAGACAAATGGAAAACACATTTTTACTGTGCTTAATCAAACTATGTATCAATGTAAGCCATTTAGCCATATATATATATATATATATATATATACATATATATACATCTATGTATATATGTAAATATATATATATATATATATATATATATATATATATATATATATATATATATATACACACTATACATGACATACACATATATAGTGATACATACGTATATATACATATTATATATGTGAATATATGTATATATATATTCGAAAGTTTGCTCCGTTTATTAAAACACACACACACATTTATATATATGTATATATATATATATATATATATATATATATGTGTATATATGCATATATATACACATCCATGCATATATACATACATATATATACACACATACTTATATATATATATATATATATATATATATATATATATATATATATATATATATAACCAGGCATTCAGTTCATCGTTCGAATTCTTAATACATTAACATTATTTAACACCAATCGCCAAGTTCCTCTTCAGACGAATCATTAATTGAAAATTCGTTTGAAGATTCGTCTGAAGAGGAACTCGTGAAGAGTTCGAAACGTTACGATTCAATTTCATTTCTAATTATGGCTGTTATCTTTTTCACCTTTGTATACACGTTAGCATATTTGTGTTTGTGTTCATGTGTATAGATCTAAAAAGGCACCTTAATTAGCATTTACACATTTTTCAAGCCTCCCGTCATGTTATTACCTTCATAATTTTCATAAAACATGTATCATGGTTTTATTTTACCTAGCCTACTTATGTTTCCCTAAAAAATAAGATAAGGATGTTTGTAAACCTATACTGGTTATAGGCTATATACAGAATACTTCAATAATTTATTAGAACACTTTACTGAGCAGTCGTACGCTCATAATCGGTTCCATGTGCTACAGGATATCATATTCTAACTTGCATTAAGTGACCTACATATATTCAGGAAACTAATAAAATATACATTAAAGGATAGGCACCAACAAACACATATTCACACAAGGACATATCTGCATATCATACTTCCTTCAACCCTCGTACTGAAACTCTCATCCAAACACACAGAGGCACACAAAAATGTATAGCTATGCCAATCTATCATTCTATCAGCAAATGTGATATACACATAAGTATAAATCAATTAATATATATATATATACACAAATACATACATATACATACACACATTTGGTAGTAAAGATCAAATATCAGTGTCCCCAGAACATAATCAACCAAACAGCACAGGCAAACCAATTAAAAAAGTTGACACAAGAGTGGTCACAGCACAATAACACAAAGGAGATTTCTTGGCTACGCTGCAGGACCTAGGCATTCAAGCTCGGAATGCCTTATTACTAACGAAATCCAAAAGGGGACCATGAAATGAATGACTCTCCGGGCACGGCCAAGTATATAAGCAAAATCCCACCATGATATCTGGCAGTCAGTGTCGGACTCACAACGGGTAGGTTGTGCTTACTCGAAGCGTGGGTGGCGAAGGATCCTTAATTATCTTGGACTTTGTTGTTGGCCCTGTGCTGGATCGTATAGAAGACTGATATATTTTCCGTGTTAAATCTTCCCTTGTGGCTAATAAGTGTCGAGTGAGTTTGAATGAAATGCTAAAAAAAAGGAATTTAATTACTATGATCTACAATTGATTTTGTAGGATCTGGATCTTTTATACTCAGCTTTAACTTGTCGTGACTGGAAAACGAAGCAATTCAATAGTTTAACTTCAAGATACTTAAAATGTTGGTATTAAATTTCTAATAATGACAGGATGAAAACATATTGCATACTGTTTTACCGCGAAAGGATAAAAAACGAGTTACTTTAATGTCCATTGAGTTTAACGGGCATTGCCCGCATGAATACAAGAACGCGCACATTTACGTGAAATCCACACACAGTAAATTAATTTGGTAACGCACACACACACAAACCCATATATATATATGTAGATGTACACACACAATATATAGGCATGTACATATATAAATATATTTATATATAAATTTACACAAATTTATACATATATACATACATACATATGTATACACATATATTTATATATGCACACACATAGAAATATATTCATATGTATACATACCTACACATGTAGAAGAGGGATGATATATTTTTTTGTATATTTTAGGAAGGTTCTGCATCAATTGACGCCAATATGTGTGACGACGAGGAACTTACTGCCCTTGTGGTAGACAATGGCTCTGGCCTCTGCAAGGCTGGCTTCGCCGGAGACGACGCCCCTCGTGCCGTGTTCCCCTCCATCGTCGGCCGTGCCCGTCACCAGGGTGTGATGGTCGGTATGGGTCAGAAGGACGCCTACGTCGGTGATGAAGCACAGAGCAAGAGAGGTATCCTGACTCTCAAATACCCTATTGAGCACGGTATCATCACCAACTGGGACGACATGGAGAAGATCTGGTACCATACGTTCTACAATGAACTCCGTGTTGCCCCTGAGGAGTCCCCCACACTTCTCACTGAGGCTCCCCTCAACCCCAAGGCCAACCGTGAGAAGATGACTCAGATCATGTTCGAGTCCTTCCAGGTTCCCGCCACCTATGTTACCATCCAGGCTGTTCTGTCTCTTTACGCCTCTGGTCGTACTACCGGTGAGGTTTGCGACTCCGGTGATGGTGTGACTCACTTTGTCCCCGTGTATGAAGGTTTCGCTCTTCCTCATGCTATCCTTCGTCTGGATCTTGCTGGTCGTGACCTGACCCACTATCTGATGAAGATCATGACTGAGCGTGGCTACTCCTTCACCACCACCGCTGAACGTGAAATCGTTCGTGACATCAAGGAGAAGCTTTGCTATATCGCCCTTGACTTCGAGAGTGAGATGAATGTTGCTGCTGCTTCCTCTTCCATTGATAAGTCCTATGAACTTCCCGACGGTCAGGTCATCACCATCGGTAACGAGCGTTTCCGCTGCCCTGAGGCTCTGTTCCAGCCTTCCTTCCTTGGTATGGAATCTGCTGGTATTCAGGAAACCGTCCACAACTCAATCATGAGGTGTGACATTGATATCAGGAAGGATCTGTTTGCTAACATCGTCATGTCTGGTGGTACCACCATGTACCCTGGTATTGCTGATCGAATGCAGAAGGAAATCACTGCTCTTGCTCCTTCCACCATCAAGATCAAGATCATTGCTCCTCCTGAGCGTAAATACTCCGTATGGATCGGTGGTTCCATCCTGGCTTCACTGTCCACCTTCCAGACCATGTGGATCACCAAGGATGAGTACGAAGAATCTGGCCCTGGCATTGTCCATCGCAAGTGCTTCTAAGAAGGACATAGTAATCAGTTTAAGCCTTTTTTTCATACTCGATCCATATAGCTATATTAGCATACTTCACTGAATTAAAAAATATGGTATTCAGTATATATGAAAATACAAAATGCTCTTATCTGTTGTTTGAATTTCCTCCTTCACTGTAGATAAATATATATTTCCAGAAAAAAATACTAAGTATGAATTCATATGTAAATGAAAAATGCATATAACAATTGAAATGAATATATTGCAGTATAGTAAAGAACTCGATCTGGCGAGATGAAGTTCCTGTTGCGAAAGTTCCAGCGGCAATGCTGCATGATTATGGTAATCAAGTGCATTACAGTGGGTAAGATGGATATAGTACAAATGAACAAATTTCTATTTGCCTCTGTATATACAGTAAATATATGTGTCTGTGTATGTTTATATAATGTCCATTATATATTTTTATGTATATATATGTATGTACGCTCGCATGTGCGTGTAGTGTATGTGATATATGTGTATCTAGTATATATATATATATATGATATATATTTACACACACTTTTATATATATATAACATATATGTATATATATGATATGTATAATATATATATATATATATATATATATATATATATATATATAAATGTGTGTATGTATGTATATATCAAAAGTAGAATAAAGAAATGTTCATTATATCGAGGTCGGGATTATTGTTGATTATTGGTGTTGCCTACGTGTTTGAAATGCACCTATCCTCACAGAAAATTAATTGGGGTCTTGTGGTAGACTTATGTATATTGAAAATGGCTCTGTTGTGCATTAACATTCACATAAGGAGTGCATGCATGCATCGAATGCGCTTGTGTTTGCAAACACATACATCTATATCAATCTATTCATCAATCTGTGTGTGTGTGTATACACATACGCATATATATATATAGAGAGAGATATACACGCACGCGCGCACACATGAACACGCAAATACATGCATGCATATACATACACACACATATATAATCATACACATGTATACATATATATGTATATATATGTGTGTGTGTGTATGTGTGTATATATATAAACACACCTATAGGATATATATATATACACACATATGTATACATATGTATGCTTATTTATGTATAATATTTATACTTATAAACACATATACATATATATGGTACACACACACACACACGCATATATATATATATATATATATATATATATATATATATATATATATATACATATATATGTATATAGTATATATATGTCTGTATACATATCCCAATCCAAAAGTTTTATTCGATTTTCACAAAAAACTCATCCATTGCTTATGTTGGCTATACACAGCATTCCGATTGTGTTGGCGATTCTCCCACATAAATTCCTCTATATATATTCGGTATGTCACGTTACTTTCACTATAATTTTCAGTGACAATATTCTTCTATAATTATAATCTTATTATAATAATTATTATCATTATTGTTATCATCCTCATTGTCATTAATATTACTGTTAGTATTATTATTACTATTAGTATTATTATTACTATTAGTATTATTATTACTATTAGTATTATTACTATTAATATTATTATTACTATCAGTATTATTATTACTATTAGTATTATTATTACTATTAGTATTATTATTACTATTAGTATTAGTATTACTATTAGTATTATTATTACTATTAGTGTTATCATTACTATTAGTATTATTATTACTATTAGTATTATTATTACTATTAGTATTATTATTACTATTGGTATTATTTGCCTTCTTATTATTACCAATATTATTATTAGTACCATCATCGTCATCATCATTACCATTTTCATTAACATTGTAGCTATAATGATGAAAATAATAATAATAATAATAATGATAATAGTAATATAATAATGATGAGAACAATAATTATTAATATTATTATCATAATTACTATTATTATAGTTATTACTGTTATCATTATTATCATCATTATCTTTATTACCAGTATCGTTAGTATCATAATTATACGTATGTATATGCATTTATATATATGTAAATATATACTTGTACATACGTATATGTATAGATGTATATATATATGTATATATATATATATATAGTGTCTTTTGTTTCTTTGTTTCTTCTTTTAGGTGAAGTTTCTCATTTGTGTCTCGCATGAATATTTATTGCCAATCAGACACACAGATTCTTTGTTCCTGCCTCGTATCTCTAGTATATTTATTACCGATCTCCAGCCTTGCCAGTGTAAGTTTTAGTGTTCTTTGTCTGTCTCTCTGTCTTACTCGCTCTCTCTCCCTCTCTCTCTCCATATATATGATATATATATATATATATATATATATATATATATATTATATATATGTTCATATATATACATACATACATACATACATACACACACACACACACACATATATATATATATATATGTGTGTGTATGTTTGTGTATGCTGTACACACACACACACACATATATATATTCATATATATATACATATATATATTTTATGAGTTATAGAATACTATTGTGTGGTTTAGCTGCTTCAGTACTGCCCATATGGGAACACGCATATATCTATATGCCTATATATACATATATATGTGTATATATATACATATATGCATACATGGGTGCAAACAACAAATGATTCTGCACTGACATCTTGAATTCTAGATGTTGGAGACTTCAGTAATACAGGCTTCATTCACAATCAGATGGATGGAATCGCCCTATATTGGCCTATGTCCAATAACAGGAGTGGTGACACGTGTTTTAGAACATAAGAAAACGGTAACCCATTAATCTACCTGAAGGGAGGCGTGTATTTAAGCGCGGGTCTCACAGAAAGGGTTTAGTCGCTTCAAGACTCGGTGTTGGTAAGTGCTCCAAGGATCGTGCTTGAAGATTCTGTAAGCCTGATAGACGCAAAAATTAAAGCTTTAGGAACTGAATCTATTTCGGTTTATGTAAACGAAGAACTAAACTTTAGCTTCACTTCAAATAATACCAGTTCAACTATGGACATTGCGTAAAAATGCATATTGATATCTGTGACTCAACGAAATGTGTCGAAAACTGATGCAATAACTTAACGTGTGTGATTATATTATCTTCAATATAAACATGCATCTATCGTAAGGGGCAAGAGCATAGAAAAAAACATGCATGGGATGATGTGTTAAAATCGCCAATTCCTTTCCTCACCGAATTTGTCTGCAATATACTGATGTCAGAATATTACTACTCATGCACAGCTGACTCGACTGCAAGGGGCAAAACCTGGTCCTGCCATTTCTCACACATGTGTATATATACATACACACATATATGCATATATATATGTGTGCGTGCGTCTATATCTGCGTGTCTGTGTATGTATGTGGATACAGCAAACACACACTGTATATTACCTATGCATTAACTCGCGTTTATACTTACAGACACTATATGACATACATTCACGCAAGCATACTGTACATGCGCACATAGACAATAAAGAAGCGACTGCTTGCCACTAATCCCAAAAAATTGGGTATTGTTTTTTTTCTGTAGATACTGACACAATGCTGCTTGATTAAAAATGCTGCTCTTTAAGCAGATATTTAGAATACAGGCACACAGATGTGTAACTTAGGTACAGTTCTATATACTGGTGTAGTGACAAGGTTTTCAGAAAGTGATAACATTTAAAGAAAATCCGTATCAATGTCTATACGTTTAGGACAGGTCACATCAAGCAGAACTTTCTCTATATTTATCTATTTTTCCCACTTCCCCAGGTACTACAGTAACAACTTGGCTACATTACCACCATGTGTGACGACGAAGATACATGCGCGCTCGTTTGCGACAATGGCTCCGGCATGGTCAAGGCCGGCTTCGCCGGAGACGACGCCCCTCGTGCCGTGTTTCCCTCCATCGTCGGCCGCGCTCGTCACCAGGGTGTGATGGTCGGTATGGGTCAGAAGGACGCCTACGTCGGTGATGAGGCTCAGAGTAAGAGAGGTATCCTGACTCTCAAGTACCCCATTGAGCATGGTATCATCACCAACTGGGACGACATGGAGAAAATTTGGTACCACACCTTCTACAATGAACTCCGTGTTGCTCCTGAGGAGTCCCCCACACTTCTCACTGAGGCTCCCCTCAACCCCAAGGCCAACCGTGAGAAGATGACTCAGATCATGTTCGAGTCCTTCAGTCTTCCTGCCACATACATTACTATCCAGGCTGTGCTGTCCCTCTACGCCTCTGGCCGTACCACTGGTCAGGTTTGCGACTCTGGTGATGGTGTGACCCACATGGTCCCCGTGTATGAAGGTTTCGCTCTTCCTCATGCTATCCTTCGTCTGGATCTTGCTGGTCGTGACCTTACCAACTACCTGATGAAGATCTTGACTGAACGTGGCTATTCTTTCACCACCACCGCTGAACGTGAAATCGTTCGTGACATCAAGGAGAAACTCTGCTACATTGCCCTCGACTTCGACAATGAGATGAACGTTGCCGCTGCGTCTACTTCTCTGGACAAGTCCTATGAGCTTCCCGATGGCCAGGTCATTACCATTGGCAACGAACGTTTCCGTTGTCCCGAGGCTCTGTTCCAGCCTTCCTTCCTTGGTATGGAATCTGCTGGTGTTCAGGAGACTGTTCACAGCTCCATCATGAGGTGCGACATTGACATCAGGAAGGATCTGTTCGCCAACATCGTCATGTCTGGTGGTACCACCATGTACCCTGGTATTGCTGACCGCATGCAGAAAGAAATCACAACTCTGGCTCCTTCCACCATCAAGATCAAGATCATTGCTCCTCCCGAGCGTAAATACTCTGTGTGGATCGGCGGTTCCATCCTGGCCTCTCTATCCACCTTCCAGGCAATGTGGATTACAAAGGAAGAATACGAAGAGTCTGGCCCCGGCATCGTCCACCGCAAATGTTTCTAAAAATAAAGTAGAATCAGATACATAAATTCCTTCCGTTTTATTATAGATTACTTTCCTCCTAGACGAAGGAAATGTAGCAAAACCTTTTGCTATGAATCAGGTAAATACAGTAAGAAACACCAAAGATTGTTTCTATACCATTATTATGTTAATTTCTAAGTATTTTAAAACAGAGAATAGCCATACATGTATTTAAACATGTATATATACTCATTGTACGTATATATGTATATATGTACACATGCATTCATATATATATATATATATATATATATATATATATATATATAAAGAGGGAAACGCGCTAACATGCATATATATATTTAGATAAATGTATATATCTGTATACGTATGTAGATATATACATACAGAGGACAGAGAAAGGCGATAACACACACATATGTGTGTGTATGTATGCATGCATGTAAATACACATATACACATAAATATATATATATATATATAGGGAGGAAAGTAGGAGTATTATAAAATACAAACAACTAAATTTTAGCCGTACGAGTGTCAATTATGGCTTCTACAATAGTGTTGATATCGGGAGAATTTGTCTTTCAGTAGTTCTGAAAAAGAAGGCATTATTAAGAAACAAAAAACAATATACTTTTCATGACAATTTAAACGATGTGAATCTTATTAAAGATTTAATTATTTAATCAACACGCTCGCTCTTTCTCTCTCAGTGTAGCTCTTAGACACAGATGTGGTCCTTGGGGGGAAAAAGTTAAAGGGAAAAGACAGTGAAAGAAACAGTGGGACAAGTATTTTTATGATTTGTCAAGAACTAATTTTGTACACCCCGTAAAAAGATAAATATGAAAAAGGACAATCTCCAAATAGGTAATTCATAGTTTTGTGAGTAGTCTTTCTATTTAACACGATCGTAATACATGTCCCCTTTCCCTTTCATTCTAGAAAAAAAGAAACGTGTCTAAAATGCAAATAAATGTTTCCGTAATAAAATCAGTATATATATATATATAAATATATCTAAAGACAAAGATTAACGTAAATCAGACTACGAATATTTCGTGATTCAAGGATTGGAATTACGTGATTTTACTCCTTAAGCGCATACACCCGACCCTTATATAAATATGTATATAAGGAATAAATCACAATATTGATTGAAAGCTTGCACTATCACAGAAAAAGTTACATAATAGTTCAAAGTGTCTTCTCTTTTTCTCTCTAAATAAGTATAAACATACACTTATAAACATATACATTTATTCGTATGAAAGGAAAACAACCACAGTAACAATTGAAATTGAATCGATTGAAACGATTCAATTTCAATTCTTACTGTAGCTGTTTTTCTCTCATCTTTGTGTACACGATACTTTGTTTGTGTTTGTGTCATTTATTCGTATTTTTCACAATCAGCGTCGCATTATCAGTGTTATAAGATAATCTTACTGACGTATATGTGCGAACCCACACCATGGTTATTTGGCTGTTTTGTTCAACTTTTTCTTAAATAAACAACCTTTCTACTGATCACAATGAATAAAGTGCGGGAAATTCAATACAAGAATGTTTATTGAACACGCTGTCACACCGAGGAGAAACCTGAGACACAACAGTTTTTTTTTCCTATCTGTTCTGCACTTTTCTTATTTACGCTTTTTTAAAGATCAAGGGAACGCCTGGAGATTGACATGATAACTAAGAAGAACAGTTTGGATACAAAGGAGAATTGTACTTTATTTTCGGGAGTAACATGAACCTTTTACGTTTTCTTTTTACTTGCAAAAAACTGACACGAAAAAAGACATTTTATAATTAAACAAGAGCCAAGAATTGTTTTGCGCAGAACTGCAGTGTTTGCGCTATTAAAGTTCCTTGACAAATACATCTTCCTGTCTCATATCTACATAGCAAAACTCTACATACGTATTATATATACAGAAAAAATGCTAGAAAAGAAACAGTATAGGGTGAATAAAACCTTGCTGTTAAAAATATTCCACTCTCATTTAAGATCATCTTGCAGCACAGCTACAGTTTTCGCGTAAGTGATTATTAACTTAGTGCTAAAACTTCTTTCTATGTTTTTCTGTGTATATTTTGATGCTGAACATCCTTACAGTCATTCATGACTATACACACACGCATACATACAACTATCCTTAATGTATGTATACATGTCAATATCTACAAATACATATATGTGTATTTATATATATACATAAGTATATACACATATAAATAATATATGTATGTGTACAGTATACATATATATACTATAAACAAAATATATACACATGTATGTATATGTGTATACATAAGCATATATATGTATTGACAAACACACGCACACACGTGAGCTCACACACACACACACACACACACGTGAACGCACACATACACACACACAGTCGCTACCACGCACACGCACACATACACACATATATAAATATATATTTACATATACATACACATATGAATACGCTATATATGCCAATGAATGTCTGCATATATAAGTATATAACATTGGAAACTCACAAGACACATACACACACAAATACATGTATACACACACACACACATATACATTTATATATACATATATATGTATATATATGCATATATGCACGTGTATGCATATACATATATATAAGTATATATATATTTGTATATATATTCACACACACATATACTATATATATGCATATATGCACGTGTATGCATATACATATATATAAGTATATAACATTGGAAACTCACAAGACACATACACACACAAATACATGTATACACACACACACATATACATTTATATATACATATATATGTATATATATGCATATATGCACGTGTATGCATATACATATATATAAGTATATAACATTGGAAACTCACAAGACACATACACACACAAATACATGTATACACACACACACATATACATTTATATATACATATATATGTATATATATGCATATATGCACGTGTATGCATATACATATATATAAGTATATATATATTTGTATATATATTCACACACACATATACATTTATATATACATATATATGTATATATATGCATATATGCACGTGTATGCATATACATATATATAAGTATATAACATTGGAAACTCACAAGACACATACACACACACAGTCGCTACCACGCACACGCACACATACACACACACAGTCACGCACCCCCCCCTCCCCCCACACACATATATATACACACACACTACATTTCGCTGTCTTGTAGCACTGGATGGATGTTACCCTTGCCTTTGATTAAGAAATATTTCTTCATTGGAAGAATAGGAGTCTAATAAGAGAAACATTAGATAAGTATATAACATTGGAAACTCACAAGACACATACACACACAAATACATGTATACACACACACACACACGTGAACGCACACATACACACACAAATACATGTATACACACACACACATATACATTTATATATACATATATATGTATATATATGCATATATGCACGTGTATGCATATACATATATATAAGTATATATATATTTGTATATATATTCACACACACATATACATTTATATATACATATATATGTATATATATGCATATATGCACGTGTATGCATATACATATATATAAGTATATAACATTGGAAACTCACAAGACACATACACACACAAATACATGTATACACACACACACATATACATTTATATATACATATATATGTATATATATGCATATATGCACGTGTATGCATATACATATATATAAGTATATAACATTGGAAACTCACAAGACACATACACACACACAGTCGCTACCACGCACACGCACACATACAAACACTCTCATGCTCTTTATCAGATTCCTTGACATAAGCTTCATTCGCTCTCTGATAGAAGGAATCCCCTTAGATTGGCCAGCATCCAACAAGCGGAGTAGAAACACATGTTTAAGTGCATGAAAAAAACGGTAACCCAAGTTCCCTCTCCCTTTATAGAAAACAGCGGTTGCAATTGCGGACTACCTGTACATTTCGAGCTTCAAAGTACCGTTTACCTAAAGGGAGGAGTGTATTTAAGCGAGGATCTCGCAGTAAAGGTTTAGTCACTCCCTAGACTCAAGTGCTGGTAAGTTTTCCCGGGGCCGTCCTTCCTCAAAGGAGATTTTCGTTCTAAGTATTTGGAGTGTTTTCGTGGCAAGTGCGGATTACTACATAGGATCTGGTCTTTTTAACGAAGTGATCAACAAAGTATTTGTGCGCAGAAATATAACTTCGACCCAAGTTTGTAATCAAATATGGCATAAAATTCCCCCCCCCCCCGCACATATATGTATATATGTAAGCATATATACATATGCGTGTATATCATTTATATAAAAATACATAGCGAGTTTCATAGAAATAAAATATATGTATGGAAATGCACACACACACACACATATATATATATATATACATATGCGTGTATATCATTTATATAAAAATACAAAGTGAATTTCATAGAAATAAAATATATGTATGGAAATGCACACACACGTACACATGCATGTCTAGTTGGCAAACTTGTGTATATAAAAATAGTAAAGCAACATTAATTTTGCTTTCAGGATACTCAAATATTAGATTTTTTTCCACACTAATTTCTTCCTCTTTTTTCAGGTAGGCAACCCTTTGACAGCTTACCTACATTACCACCATGTGTGACGAAGAAGATGCGTGTGCGCTCGTGTGCGACAATGGTTCCGGCATGGTCAAGGCCGGCTTCGCCGGAGACGACGCCCCTCGTGCCGTGTTCCCCTCCATCGTCGGCCGTGCCCGTCACCAGGGAGTAATGGTCGGTATGGGTCAGAAGGACGCCTACGTCGGTGATGAGGCCCAGAGCAAGCGTGGTATCCTGACTCTAAAGTACCCCATTGAGCACGGTATCATCACCAACTGGGACGACATGGAGAAGATCTGGTACCACACGTTCTACAATGAGCTCCGTGTTGCCCCTGAGGAGTCACCCACA